TTTTCACGCGTCTGGCCCAGGTCACCATTCAGATACATTTGCAAAATATGGCCTGGGCCTGGGCGCCTTCAACCAACTGGCGCAGCGCAACTGCCTGAATTTCACCAGTTGCGGGGTACCCTGAAAATCGAGGCCCTGAGGGCCTGTCGCGCCTGCCTTCACTTAGGGCGGCCGACATACTGCAAAAAGGGCCCCGAAGGGGCTGAGCGGGCGTAGCCTCGCATTCCCTCCTCCATATCTTCGTTAGTCCTCTGAGAGGATCAATCCTGAGCCATCTGGCGCTTTACTTTCAATACATCCTTCTCATAGCGGGCAACGATTTGCGGAGCGGTCTGCATCAATTCCTCCCGAGTAAACCAGCGGTCCTCCTTCGGATCTGTGTGGTGTCTGAAGTGGACACGGAACTGCAGCTTTGGCTTTGGAGGACGTCCCCTTCCTGGAGGCTTCTGAACAGGCATCTCCCTGTGGTCAACGATATCATCGATGTCAACTTCTCCGTCCATGGTTGGGGGCAGCATTGAGCGACGAGAGGGAAACTTATCAGTTTCCTTGGATGCAGCGAGCTTAGAGGCGTGAAAGACTGGGTAAGTTCTGAGATGACCAGGGATACGGATGACATATGATGGACCATCAGGATCTGTCCCTACTACGTCTAAAACTTCCCAAGGTCCAAAGTACATGAGTTTGCGGGATATCCCGAACTCCTGTCCCAGTTCTGAAGACTTGACCCAGACTCTGTCCCCAACCTGAAATGTAGAAGGGCGGCGGTGTTTATTCTCAGATTCTATCATTGCTGCCTGCGCCTTCTGCATGTGCTCTACGGCCTCCGGCATCTTCTGTTCATAACGATACGCGAACTCCAAAGTGCCCGGTGTAACAGTTGGCTGGTTATCAGGAAGTAGGAAGTCTAAAGGCAGTCTAGGCCTAAAGGTAAGATGTAGACTGTTAGGACTTACCCCGGTAGCGCTGTGTACAGCGTTATTGTACAGAATGGCGACAAGAGCAAGCTTCTCGTCCCAGTCCACCTGGTTGGGCTTGATGTAATGCCTTAACAGGTGTTGCACAGCGTGGTTCATCTGTTCAGCCTGGTCGTTTGCTTCTGGATGGTTTCCAAAAGTCATTTGCAGTTGAGTTCCTTGTTCAACTGCAGCGGCCTTCCATAATTCGCTTGTAAATCTGACATCCCTGTCACTTACAATAGACTTAGGCAGTCCAAAATCCCTCACCCAGTTCTCTTTGAACAGCCTGATTACATACTCGGTCTTCGCTGTTTCCGGCATGGCTATTAACCTAGCATACTTACTAAACCTATCCACGATGACGAAGA